ATGAGGCAATCCTGCTGCACAGAGAGGCACTGGAGATCCGTGCTGCACATCATCCTAAACGGGGCATGTCTCTCACCAATCTGGGCAATGCGGTCCAAACACGGTTTGAGCGGCGGGGAGATCCCAAGGACATTGATGAGGCAATCATGCTGCAGAAAGAAGCAGTGGAGATCTATGCTGCCCCTCATCCTGCCCGGGGCATTTCCCTCAACAATCTGGGTAATGCAGTCCAAACACGGTTTGCACAGCGGGGAGATCCCAAGGACATTGATGAAGCAGTCATGCTGCACAGAGCGGCACTGGAGATTCATGCTGCACCTCATCCTAACCGGGGCATGTCTCTCAACAATCTGGGCAATGCAGTCCAAATACGGTTTGATCAGCAGGGAGATCCCAGAGACATTGATGAGGCAATCATGCTGCACAGAGAGGCATTGGAGATTCGTGCTGCACCCCATCCTGATCGGGGCATGTCCCTCAGCAATTTGGCCATTGCAGTCCAAACACGGTTTGCGCAGCAGGGAGATCCTAAGGACATTGATGAGACAATCATGTTGCAGAGAGAGGCACTGGACATGCATGCTGCACCCCATCCTGACCGGAGTATGTCTCTCAACAATCTGTCCAGTACTGTCCACACACGGTTTGAGCAGCGGGGAGATCCCAAGGACCTTGATGAAGCAATCATGCTGCAGAGAGAGGCACTGGAGATTCGTGCTGCACCTCATCCTGAGCGGGACAGGTCCCTCACCAATCTGGGCAATGCAGTCCGATCACGGTTTGAGCAGCAGAGAGATCCCAGGGACATTGATGAGGCAATCATGCTGCACAGAGAGGCACTAGAGATCTGTGCTGCACCCCATCCTGGCCGGGGCATGTCTCTCAACAATCTGGCCAATGCAGTCATAAGACGGTTTGAGCAGTGGGGAGATCGCAAGGACATTGATGAGGCAATCATGCTGTACCGAGAGTCACTGGAGATTCATGCTGCACCCCATCCTGATCAGGGAATGTCCCTCAATAATCTGGCCAATGCAGTCATAACACGGTTTGAGCAGCGGGGGAGATCCCAAGGACATTGATCAGGCAATCATGTTGCACAGAGAAGCACTGGAGATCCGTGCTGCACCCCATCCTGACCGGGGCACCTCCCTCAACTATCTGGCCAAAGCAGTCCAAATACGGTTTGAACAGCGCAGTGATCCTGAAGACATCAATGAGGCTATCTCCTTGCACAAACAAGCCTCAACATACATTTATTCTTCTGCACTCCACCGCTTCTCTGCATCACACCAATGGATCAGGAGTGCCACCAGACATGGCCATGGATCCTCATTGGATGCCTATCATACTGCCATCAACCTCTTACCACAGTTGGCTGCATTTTCCTTGGATATTAAGTCCCGCCAACAAATGCTAGCCGGAGAGGACATTGTATCCCTCACTTCTGCTTCTGCAACTTGCGCAATCGGCCTGAATCAGAATAATCTTGCTGTGGAACTTTTGGAGGCCAGCCGGTCAATTTTCTGGGCACAGGCACTACATCTCCGAACCCCAGTTGACAAGTTAGAAATTGTGAAACCCGAGCTTGCCACAAAGCTTAGGGGTTTATCTCAGCAATTGGAGCAGGCATCCTTCCGAGACACCTCTCGGAACATCTTGACGGACACTCAGCACCGACTTATGTCAATTGAGGCTGTGGCAGCTCAGTGCCGTCAACTCAATGATGAATGGGATCAGACTGTCAGTGCTGTTCAAAAGGTGCCAGGGTTTAAAGATTTCCTCCGTCCTAAAAGCTTTGCATCTCTCCAGCAGGCAGCAGTATTTGGCCCAATCATAATATTGCTTGCTAGCGACTCAGCTTGTTCAGCTCTGATCGTAAAGTCCTCTGGGGATGTTCAGCATGTGGAGCTCCCTGCACTGAAGCCTCAGATACTGGAGCACTATGCATGTCTCCCACGTGCGCTATCAGACCGCACTTTGAAGCACATTCTCGTCATCAACCCGATTTGGCGGCTCGTCTCAAAATGTACAAAGAGGGATGTGTCAACATGAGCCCGGATGATATCTTTCGCAGAGTTTTGGCAGACATCTGGCAAACAATTGTGAAACCAGTGTTTGAGGTCTTGAATCTGAAGGTAAGTTATTACATTGTTTTCATTTTCCATTTGGGTGATTGAAGGTGCCCTCTCTTATTGCAGAAGTCAGAAAATCCCCCTCGCTTATGGTGGTGTCCGACTGGGCCTTTTGCCTTTCTTCCAATTCATGCAGCAGGGATTTATAACACAGACGGAACAGACTGTGTTTCAGATTATGTTATCTCCTCAAACACTCCCACTTTAACAGCCTTGTTGGATCCTCCAGCTCCCATTACAGCCTTCTTCAAGATGACAACTGTGATTGAACCTGATGCACCAAATTGTGATTCTCTTCCAGGTGCAGAGTTGGAGCTCAAAAAAATCAAGAGCAGAGTCCCAAGCCAATGGCTCACATCCCTGGAGAGCACAACTCGAGACACAGTCATGCATCATCTACATAATTCATCAGTGATTCACTTTGCATGCCATGGGATTCAAGATTTCTATAACCCTCTTAATAGTGGCCTCATTCTCTCCGATGGTCGCCTTGATATGTCCCAAATCATGCGCATACCCATGAATAATCATACAAAGAATAGCATGAAACTGGCTTTTCTCAGTGCCTGTGAAACAGGGAAGGGTGATGCAAAGAGACCAGATGAAGCCATGCACCTTGCTGCAAGCCTGCTGTTTGCAGGTTTTGGTGGGGTCATTGCCACAATGTGGTGAGTTAAAACATTTGCAGTCTTTTCCTTTGCAAATTCTGATCTGCGATGTAGGACAATGAATGATGATGATGGTCCCAAGATTGCAGATAAATTCTATGAATATCTGTTCAAAGATTGCAGTTCAGACTCAGTCTCTCTAAGAATGCCTGATCTCAGCAAAGCAGCCAAAGCACTCCATCTCGCTGTGACTGCACTGTACAGGGAACCAGGCATGACCTTTCAGCGCTGGGTTCCATTTGTTCACCATGGACTGTAATCATTTATGAATTCTCCATTTGTCAGATATTTCATTCTTTGTAAATATAATCCCTTGCAATTGTCCACCATTCACAGATATCTCTGTGAAAAAAATGAGTCCAATCTCTATCATGGCCATTGCAGAACTTAGGTTGTCAGAGGCCATGTATTTCCCTGCACAAAGGTAGCCTTTATGTAGTGTTTGTAATCAACCGCGGTATGCTAACTGCTAGAAAAGCCTGTTACGAAGCGTTTGGGTGGCAGGAGTGCTGCGCAAGCAACTAGCCATCGACTGGGCAGTGGGTTTTGTATGCGATATAAACTGCTGGTCACAATTTATCCTTCTGATCACCGTTTTGAGGTGCCAGCGCCTAGTCCGTGATGCATCGGGCAGCACCTGTCAATCGAACCGCATATTCCACTGGACCGTGCTGTGTAATACCACCTATTTACCCACCCACCTACCTACCACTTCTTCGAATCTCAACATCTGTTTTTCTGACAGTTCAAATTTGCGCCTCGGATTGATTTTTGTCTAATATCTCCACCCACTTCCCAATGATTTGTATCCGCAATGATGCTCAATCCCAGTGAGAGTGAGCTTGAGTAGAGCCTGCATGATGAATCTACAACAGTTTCCCTATGTCAACATAAGCCCTCCGGGCACCCTTGGTTCCTCCACCAATCACAAACAGCTGCATCAGCCGATTGTATTGTTTGTTGTGTGCCATGGGCAGTTCTGCGCGAGTTCTGCAAGCCTGATTGGTGCGAGTCAAGGTTACTGTCAGGGACCATCCGTCACTGCGCCTATAAAGAAATAAGATGAACATGAATAGAGCGGGATCTTTGGGCATGCAGGTGCGGACCATCCGCCACTGGTTCTATAAAACACAAACGTGAACAGGAACAAGGTGCGAGATTTCGTGCTCATCTGTGAGGAAAAAAAGATCTACACTCGAGTATCAAATCCCAGGCTCGAGTTGAACGAGCAGGTTCTGCATATTTCAAAGGCAACTGTGGATGTAGTGCAGACGCGGACCATCCGTCACTGGGCCTGTAAAATAAATAAAGTGAACGTGAATAGACCCTGGATTTAGGGCTCACCAGCAAATAAAAAGAGGGATTTCACGCCATGGAGCCACGGCCCAGGCTCGAGTCGAACGAGCAGGTTCTGTACCAATTTTCCGCAGATGCCGACCATCCGCCACTGGGCCTGTAAACCGACCAATTGAACTTGAATACAGCAGGATTTTCGTGCTCACCGTAGAGAAATATCAAAAGCAAAACAAACTCTCCAATTTACGGCCCATGCTCGATTCGAACGAGTAACTTCTCCATTATTCCACCAATGCAATCTTACGTAGTACAGATACGGACCATCCGCTACTGGGCCTATAAAAGAAATCAACTTTGAACATGAATGAAGCACGGATTTTAGGGCTCACTAGCGAGGGTAAAACAATCGTGGCAAACACACCATGGCCCAGGCTCGAGTCGAGCGAGCGTTCTCTGCATTATTTCAAAGGCAACTGTGCATGTGGTGCAGATGCGGTTCTGGGCCTATAAATGAAAGAAGGTGAACTCGAATAGACCCAGGATTTTTAGTGCTCATCGTAAAAAAAAAAGTGGAAGAAATAGTACGGTGGACGAGGCTCGAGTCGAACGAGCAGGTTCTGCACAAGTTCTCTGGTTACTCATGCATTGCATGCAGACGCAGACCGTCCGCTACTGGGCCTATATAAGAAATGACATGAGCTCGGATAAACCGCAATTTTATGTCGCACTGTAAAATAATATTTTTTGGAGAATATGAAATGGCCCAAACTCGAGCGGTATCTGCTTTGAGGCATATAAAACCGTGGAATTGCATGCAGACGCGATCCATCGGCCACGGGACCTATAAAAGCAATAAAATGAGCTGGCATGAAGCAGGAAAAAAATGCCTGATTCGCCCACACGGCCCGAGCTCGATTCGAACGAGCAATTTCTGCATCCATTGCTGAAACCGGGGATTGCATGCAGATGCGGATACCGTCCGCCACTGGGCCTTTTGGATAATAAAATGAACTCGAATAAACCAAGATTTTTGGGCCTCACCGTAAAAGAAAAAAGTCTGGAAAGACAGAGTTTATGTCCTAGGCTCGAGTGGAACGAGCGGATTCTGCGCGATCAACATGCCCGGTTTCTTATGATTTGCGTAAAGCAGGATTTTAGCAGTGCTCACCGTAAAAGAAAAAAAGTTTGGAAAGGCAGAGTTTTGGCCCAGGCCCGAGTCGAACGAGCGGTGTCTGCATGAGCACAGTCGAGTATACCTTAATTTGTGCAGACGTACACCATCCACCACTGGGCCTGGTAAACAATAAGATAAACTTGGATAAACACCGAATTGCTTAGGCCGTACGAAACACTAACAAAACATTAGCAGCTGCCGTTCTCATTCAAATTTATAAGAATTCACATACGTGGACCTTTCACGCCCTTCACTTTAGCCAAATAAAATCCGACTAGAAGCAAAGAAAGAAAGACAGAAAAACTGAAGGTGTTCAACAGCCCAGGCTCGGGTCGAACGAGCGGCTTCTACATGACATGGCTTGCTATCCCAACACGTAGCGCAGACGCAGACCATCTGCCGCTGGGGCCGTAAGACAACTAAAGTGAGCTTGGATAAACCACAGATATCGGTCAAAAACAAGTACGAGTCTCCAGGCTTGTTCCGCAACTCGAGTTGCGGAATGGGCCGAATCAGGATTTGGAGCCATGCATGACATCCAGCGAGATGCGCAATGTCCATGTCGTTCAACGAAGAAAAACACCACGTCCTTCAATGACGAGAAAGTTGGAATCTTGGAGCTCGACGGATTACGACCTAGCAAGTACATAGAGCCGCTTTTTTGAAGCACCGACTGGAATTCGAAAGGCACATTGTGAACAAATGGAAAGTAGACTGTAGAATGCAGTACGTACAGATATAGGTCAACCATGTAGCTGCTTGTCTCGGGAACGGAGTTAATTATATAAGCGCCTCGGAGCATCTCGGAACAGCCACAAAAATGATGCCTTTCAGTAGCTCTCGCAAAAAAATACATACACAAAATGAAGTGGTAAACGGACGATTCCGTATCGCGAATACATATTTGCAAACAGGCCTAGAGGGCAATTACACTAAGCCGGAACCACGTTTCCTATGAGTGCCCGAGGGTGAGGCGGCGGGGCGGGATTCGCGGTGGGCAGAGAAGACCGTGATGGGCCCATGGTGGGTGGTGCGCGATGCGGTGGAGGGAGTGCAGAGAAGGTGCGTAGGTATGACCTCCACCTGTACCGCCACATTCTGCTTCAGCCCCGGGCTGCGCTGCACCAGGCAATATACATACTTGAAGGAAGCACGTAAATGCTAGGCGGATGTATCTCGTCGTCGCTGCGAGACCGCGCGGGATTCGCGGAAGACAGTGCAGAGCGCGGTCCATGGACGGAGAAGCGTGTGGTGTGCGGAAGGGGATCGAGCGCTGCTCGCGAAGGGCGCGGCGGGGCGCGCGGACATGGCGAAGGGCGCAGAAGTGTGTTGGGTGCGTGACGTGGCGGGGGCGGAAGGGATGGGCACGGGAGGCGCGCTGGGTGTGCTCCGCGCCGGATCGGGCATGCAGTGCCGCAGCAGGCGGGTACGGCAAAGAGCGCTGTACGCGCGAACCGAGGGCAGGACGCGCACATACGCCTCTTCGTCCACGCGCGACACGGAGGGACCGAGGGCCGTTCGACACCCGAGGAGGCAAGCGAGCAGCGTGTGATCGCACAGGTGGGGGGACGGATGTACCTCCAAGCGGGAGGTACCGACGCGCGGTGCAAGCATGCACCCTCGAGACACGATTCTGCCGCAGGCGATCGTTTCGTTCGGGAGTCGGGTGCACGCAGATCTATAACTACATACGGGATACCTGGGGGAGCGGCACACTCAGAAGGAGAAGCGGGATACGGATGCGGGAAACTCAAGAGATCAGACGTTGCGCCGGCCACAGCATTGTCGAGTCCGTAAAATCGCGCCCAAGAGCGAGCTGCACGCCGGGAAGGGGTCCGCGTCGGGTGATGTATCACCAGCGTAGGTGTGTGGCGTCGCAGCGCGGGCAGGCGTCGAGGTACTGGTGCGAGCGATCGTGGTGCACCAAGAAGTGGGTGAGCGACGAGCGGCACTAACAAGTACCCTCCGCACCGGCTCGGGCACATAGTGGTGCAGCGCGCGAGCAGGGTACGCAAGGATGTTCGTGGGTGGGGCGTGTACCGGAGGAGGCGCAGCATGTAGTATCGCAGCGCGCGGGAGCGGGGTGCGCAGGGCTTCCTGCCGGCGAGACACGCATCTTTCTGGCGCGGGTGATCGTGGCGCGCTTGGAGGTGAAGTGGATGACGAGCGGCGCGCGCGGGCGGAGTACACGCAGGGCTGCCTACCGTCGAGACACGTTCTGGCGCGGGTATGCGTGGCGAGTGGGTGACGACGGCCGAGCACGCGAGCAGCGTGAGATAACGTAGCGCGAGAGTGTAGTGTCGCAGTGTGCGAGAGAGGGAGGGTGAGACACGATTCTGCCATGGGCGATGGTGGCGCGCCGGGAGTGGATGACGAAGCCCGTATGATCGCGGCGTGGGATGGCGGTGCGGGGTACCTGGCGTGCAGTGTCGAGAGGAAGGGTACGCAGGGCGGTGAGACACAATTCCTACGTGTGCAATGGTGGCGCACTGGCAATCATAGAGCAGGTCGCGGTAAAATCTTAAACGCGACGGATGTACCGGCGCACCCAGGATGCCGATACAACGCGGGTCAGGATACAGAGCAGGTTTGGGGGTGGTGGTCGCGATGAGTGTGAGCGCCGAGCGGTGGATAGACGATGAGTGCGAGCCACGCCACGAATGTATGTTTACGTGGCGGGGGCGGGCTGCGGGTAGGGGCATTGGAGACAGACAAGTCAGCGCGTGTGCTGTCCCATGCGACAGTAGTTGAGCCACGCTTCACGCGAGGTCTCTACGCAAACGGTTGGACTGGCGCGGCACGGAACGGCCTGTATGTACCGCGAGACCAGTCAGTCAGCGCATTGCGAGGGGAGAGCTGTGCCGAGGCCAAGATGAGATGACAATGAGGTGTGAAAAGGAGACGGACACTGAAATGTACTATCGGTCCTTGCGAGGTGTTTGTGAGTCACACCGGTAACGCGTGATGCGCCATCAGCGTAAAGCTAACTTAGAGGCAGCGACGCTTAGTTCATCACCTGCCTTACCGTTTTTCATAACAGTATGAGACCCCGGATTATCCCCCCAAAGGCCTGTTCCACCCCTTGTCGGGACGCAAATATTCAAATTTTAGGTGATTTTGTCAGGATTTACACAGGCCCAAAATTTTTTCCCGAAAATTGTCGGGAAACCCGGAACAGGCCTAAATTTCGCCAATTTTTTCGGGAATCATGAAACAGGCCCAAACTTTGCACGCTGCGGCGCTCCAAAACTAACTAGAATGTGATGCAGCAGCCGAAATGTTAATTACGGCCGATCCCGAAACTCATGAGAATTGTACGGGCAAGTGGGCCGAAATGGCCGTGATTTCCTTTTTGGGATCCGGGAAAAAAGAAAAGGATTCTCATTAGTTTCCGGATGCTGTAAACAGTGCCTAGACAGTATTAAAAGTTGATAGTCGTATCTTCCACCTCCGCGCTCTCCTCCGTCGCCTTTTTATTGCGCACCTTCGATTGGTCTGTAGGGGCGAGTCGGTCGGTGCTGTACCATGTCCTAGCCTGGTTAAGGATCAAGGTGAGGCAGTTCGGCATGTCGGTGTCAGGTATGTGCTTGATATCGACAGGAACTGCCAGGACCTCGGCCAGAGCAACCCGTGCACCCCGGGTTTTGAGATCGTCTGCGTCGCCTGAAGGAAATTTTTTGTGAGCCCCTATAAACCACGCACAGTGCCATACATAGCGAGCTTCTGGCCGTTTTGGCTAGTCTGAATCTACTGACACCGGGCTTACCGGACCTTAGATTACCGTGATCAAAGCGTGACTGCACGTGAATTTTCCCACGTGCCCAATGCGGAATACACGCTCGCAAGCCGTATCTGAGCAATATACTAAAAGAAAGTGTGCCTAAAGTGGTTAATCAAGTTCATTAAAGCTTCCTGAGCTTTTCCCGAAGTAAATGTGTCATGATTTGGCTTCATTGCATCAAAGGACGAGCACAATTAGTGGTTGGCCCCCGAACACATCAATTTAAAGCTCAAGATTGCATCGAAAGGCTCTAGGAGGTTTCTAAGTGGTCTTACTTGCAGTACGAGTCATTTATATGTTGGTAGACTGTGCAGAGCGGTGGAAATGGGCTCTCATCCCGATTTGGCCCGTGGGAGAGTTCACGTGTGGTCACGCATTGATCACGGCAATCCAAGGTCCGGTAAGACCGGTGCCAGCAGATTCAGACTCCATATATAGTTCATCGACTATCTTTGAACATGTGGAGTCTGACTATGTGAGACTACGTTTTGGCGTGTGAGAGATGAAAATAGTAAGATCAGACGCCAAGACAGCAGAAATGTCACATATATACAAAGGAAAAACATTAAAACATGCATGACCCGAGGAACGAAACCACGACCTCGGAAACGGAGATACCACTATGAATTTCAGCCAACAGGACACACTGATCGGGGAGGTATGGAACATGTCGGGAGTTGCAACACAGGCCTTCCACCAAGATGTCGGGATTGACACAAGCCAAATGATACGGGCACAGCGACCCCTGCAAGAGACAGATCACGTGGCCTCCCGGCCCCGGTACGCCATTGCAGCCACTACCACTAATCATGTTGGAGCCTCTCGTAGACTGGCTATGGCGCCGTAGGGTGGGAATTGTTCTTTTGGTCGTCTTGCGTTCGAGTCTTGGACAAACCACTTTTTTTTTGTTATGTTCAATTCTTCAATTTCCAATTTTCTACTTACTGTCACTACACTCTACAGTAGTAATTCACCGAATTTGATTATTACCTGCTCAGCCCACCCCCGGAATTACGGGGCGGGATCAATTACTTATG